TCTAATTCTTTGAATTAGACTCAACAAGTCCTGTATTGCCTGAGGAATAGGCATTTTGCCTCTCGTGTGAGATATTCCAGGTAGAAAGACGGACTCTCAGACCAACCTAAGCTCTTTTCATTGCTTGTTCAGTGCATCATCTGCAGAAAAATCTGGAGTTTGTTTGTTTTAATTACAAAAAAACTAGATTGCTTGCATGTATGGGCAAATCTGTTGTTTAGACATCCGTCCTCCATTTTACTCCTTTCAAAAACAGGGGCGTGAAGCTTGCAAAGCAGGGCAGGGGGTGGACCTAAATTTAAGGAGTTGGGTCAAAAGATGGGTAGAATTACAGTCTGTTGTTGGCAAGGGGCCGCAAGGTCTGCATCTGAAAAGCACCGTTCCTGGGGTCTTCAAAATCTGGAAAGAGGGAAACGCTCGCTTTTATTTTGGGGAGAAATAAGTTCATCTTGATGTTTTTCTGAGGTCCTGGCCCCCTTCCTCCTCCTCCTCCTCCTCCTCCCTCTGCCGACCCTCCTTGCCGCCCCCATCCCATCGCCTTTTCCAGGCCACTGAAGAAGGCTTTTAATATTCAAGCCATACCTTCTCTCCTGAAGCCGCACCGAGGAGCTGACATCCCCCAGTTTATTGATATCACTTGTGGGCCTGTCAGCAGCACATTCAGCCACTAATGGCCCCCCAAGGTGCCCGTCCAGGCAGTTCTAAAGAGATTCGGACCAAAAAAAGAAAAAAATTAAATAAATGCCCGTTGGGGAGATCTTTTTTTTTTGTCCAAGGTGAGACAATGCAGGCGAGAGAAAAGGCCACAGATGACGGGTGATAAAGAGCCCAGCGACGCAGGAATATCTTTCTTTTCACTTCGCACCCCAGTTCTTTTTTTCTGTCACTTCCATTCTCTCCTCCCTCTTTTTTGCTTTCTCCTCTGGGAAGGAAGAATGGCGGAGGGTTCAGATGCAAACGACTGTCCCTCTCTTTGTTGGATTTTGTTTTTCTTTTAAAGCCAGCTCCCTTCGTAAGCCCTTCCTTCCTTCCTTCCTTCCTTCCTTCCTTCCTTCCATCCATCCATCCATCCATCCATCCATCCATCCTTCCTTCTTCTCCCTCCCTCCGTCCCTCCCCCTTCCTTCCTTCCTTCCTTCCTTCCTTCCTTCCTTCCTTCCTTCCTTCCTTCC